AAAAAAAAAAAAGCTTTTCCAGACTTCCTACAATCGTTGAAACAAATGGTTCACTGTACTTCACTGTACCGCGTCTTGTCAACTTTTTAAAACCCGTTTGAGCAGTGTTTGTAGCACTATTTATGACAAAGTTATATTACTGAATTTTATTTCTGGAATCAGAAAGTTTCAGTTTGTTTGGCCGCAATTAAACAATCAGAAAACTAATCAGGTTCTACCGGGACTTTCATAGCATCTAACTCAAAGATTTGCACAAAACTTTTTATAACTATATCACCACTTAAAAGGCGCAGTTTGTCCGTTTCCTTTAAAATTAGTCGTAAAAACTTCTGGTCACTCTGTATCGGTGGTAACCCCGTCAGTAATTCTGTAACTTCTACCATCTACAGTTCAATGCTTTTTAAGATCCAAATTATCCATTCACCGCCACCTTTGGCATGTCTTCCTTTCCACTTCTTTTACTTCATTTTTTCAAAAACACTGTCGAGAAACCCTTTTCAACTGCTTTAAAAATCCGTTTGGCTCACATTCTGCCGACTGCTGGGAATAATGCTGCTTTTACAGTGACGAAAAATAAGGGAAATTTACTGTGCAGTAACTGTAGAGTATAATTATTTATCCGTTGTCGTTCTGGAAAATAACCTGCTGTTTATTTCAAAAATTTGTTGACTCAATCTCATAACTTTTTATCTAACTCCGAATCCGCAGTAGACAACCTAATTTTGACATGAAACGATTAACAGCTCCTAGTACATCTCAAATTCCTTAATTTTCTTGGTTTGAACAATCCACTCATTTTGTATGAATAAAATTATATCATAACATAGTGATTTTGTTAAATTTGTTATATGAGGAACACGGCTTCAAGTTCATTTCTAGTTGTTAATCTTTCTGAAATCTGAATTTAACACTGAGATAGATTGACTGTTTTTTGCAGTTAAGAGAAAATACAATCCAACACATAAAGTGTACAGACAAGATTACTTATCTTGGAAAATGTAAAGTCGATTTGTCGCTGCCAAAGCAATGATATTCTCCTTAGGGTGCCAAGCTGTATGAAGGATTTTTTTGTTGAAATCTAAAGCATCTGCTCCAACTTCCTCCTCAGACGAATCTGTAGGTGCTTGTAAACGTTTCTTGTTCCCACGTGAATTACCCGCAGTCACGACTCGGCGTGCGCGCAGACGCGTTCCAGGTTTTTCAATGTGAGCCTTAAAAAATTTAATTTTTTGAGCAAAAAATGCTCTGTAAACCTAAAAACAGCTGCAAAGGAATAAAAAGCAAACCCAACAAAAAAATATCCCAAAAAAATTAGCACAAGCTGCCGAACCTCGTAAGTTTTAGCGAGATTAGGGTCGGCACCTCTTTTAAACGTTCTGAAGAAGTTGCTGTACGAGCCAGTTAAGATATGCCTGGAGAAAAATGAATTCAATGGTCAGAAAAAATGACTGAAAGGAAATCCAAAACCTTCTAAAAAAATCTGTACAAAATTAAAACTACCCACTTGTCGTTTCCGCTCCAACCTATTTCAAACTTGTCAAAAATAGAATCGTTTTCGTAAAGCGTACATAATTTAGACCTAAGATAATCGTGAACTGAATATGTCTCGACTGGACCAGACTCCATGTTAATATCCCAAACCTGGAAAACATTTCATTTGAATAATGAAAAAAAATTTGCACCGCCCAAGCAAATGACAAGAGATTAAAACAAGATAACGTGCTCTACTATTCAGTACGATATATCCAACCTTAGCAGTCAAATAATCACGAGTAAGGAGATAGCGACCATTATGAGAAAACTTTACGTCAGACACTGAAGCAATAATTTCGGAAAAAAATGAACGATTGGAAGGATCTTCCACCTCTTCAAACACTAAAAAAAAAAGTTAAACTGTTGCTTTATTCAATAACTAACACAAAAGGGTGAAAACAAATTTTAGTTTAAGAGTCTCAGGCAAGTATAAGAAGGAACCAACGTTTTGCGTGAGTATCACAAAGAGCTCTATCCCTCATGTCACACAGCCTAATAGAACCTTTTGAAGAGCTGTAAACAAAACAATGACATTGCGATGGATGAAACTCAGAAGCTGTGATTACTTCTGTAAGTTCCTCCATATTTGCTGGTTTGATATCAACTATATCTGCAAAGAATTTTCGTGAACAAAACTATAACCACTGTAAGTGTCACTAATAACCTCGAAGCAAATTCATTCAAACAAAAAATATAAACCTAAAAACCTACTAAAGCTTTCATTTGTGATTTCAAGATGCCATAAATTGATGCGTAAGTCATCAGCGGAAAGAAACGTTTCCTGAAAAAGTTTTGAAGAAAAGGTGTTGGGAAATATCTTGAACGAGGACGCTAGCCCCACTCCAATAAACCATATGGAAGAGTACCTCCACCCTCCCCAACAATGCAATTCGAATTCTAGTTTTATTATAAACCTGATCATGATTCACGCTGATTGAGTTGACGTGATAAGTATGAGCATTGCCGTAAACACGTCGAGGGGAAGCCTCTACTATCAACTCCATAGGAACTAACTGTGGCAACTTTAAAGGACCTTCAAAAGCTGAAAAAATATTAATGAATTAAATTTCATAGTCGGAAACCAAAGATAATTCTTACATCTTTTATTGCTAACTGAGCCGTCAGGATTACGAG